GGCAACAGCAAGCTGGCTGCAAGCTACCTGTTCGCTGGTTTACAGAGAAAGAGCGAAAGAGAGAGGGCGTTGGGGGGGGGATTGAGAGACTGGGGAGTAACAAGCTGAATAAGTCTGGTGACATTCTCTATTTTTGTGATTGTCAAGATAAATGAAAAGACCGAAACCAACGATGAACTGATCCGACTAACAAGTACTGTCTCTGTTGCCAAAGCCCGATATCGGAGCTTATTCCTCTGTGCCATACAGCTCCATTGTTCAAAACTATCCATCCCAGACTATTAAAAACACATCAGTGAGCCACACTGTTACACTGGGTGACATGTTCCTTAATTACCATGAACACACACACTGTAGTTCATTTGTACTCTACTGCCCCAAATACTCACCAGACCACCAAATGTGAATTAATCCACGTCTGAAAATAACAAATGCACTTTTTACTCCTGTTTAATTAACATTTGCTAAAACCTACAGTGCACAGCTGTTACTGAGCCTTTAGAAGAAAAAAAAATATTATTGTGACCCATTTTTAAGATTTAAGTCTTCTGTAGGGACCAATGGGGTTTGCGGCTGAGAGCCACAGAGAGGTTAGAGATGGACAAACACACTGCTGGTTTTGTGTTTTCAAGGGACTTGCTGACAATCAGAAAAATACACTATAAGTCAGCCTTGCCCTCAAAGTACTCCCCCTCTCTCTCTACTAAGTGTATTATCTCTCAACCTCTCTCTCCCTGCCTCCGTAATTTTTCCTCTCAGTGTTTCCATCCCTGTCTCTCGGAAGGAAGTGAATACCCACCAAGTACAACGCCACAGGCAAGCATCATCATACCTGACCTTTCACTCCCATACACAGTGGGTGAGAGATGCAGAGCGAGAGAGGGACAGAGGGGAGAGAGGGCAGGAGAAAGAGACAAAGACACGGAGAGATATTAAACTATAAATGGATGTGAGCGAGAATGAGGGGAGAGGCACCCAGTGACGAAGCAGTTGCTATGCCAAAAACCAGGAGCACCAAACACACGCATGCACACACATTCACACATGCAAAGACACACACACACATACACACACGCATGCACGCAAAGTAAACAAGGAGGCTCCGTTGTGACAAGTGGAAGCAGGAGTGTCAGAACGATATTGCAGGGGATGACCACAGCATACTAACAGCTCTGATGGCACGCCATGCACACACACACCCACACACACACACACAAAGACGATGCACACAAGCAAAGCTGACTGCCAGAGACGGGTTAGGGCGATAGCGAATGTGATCATAAGAAGAAAATGTTCCCTGCGTCAAATCTAGTTTTTCACCCTTAAAGCTCAAACTTGTGTCAAATGTGAATCTGTGTGTGTGTGCGTTATTGTGTGTGCGTGAAAGAACTGCATTTCTACATCATCCAGTCTAACATGTGAGTTATGACTTTTGACATGAATTTGCAAACTGTTAAAATAAGGAGCAAACCTGCATGCAGAGAACAAAATGTTGAAGCTTTCCTGCTGGAATACTGAGCTTCTTGCTGTTTGAATAACTCTCTCTTCTTAAATCGTTTATTACGTGTTTTCTTTTTCATGGCTAAAGTGGATTCAATAAGATAAATTACACAACAAAATTATAAATGTAACACTTTTGTTTTTGCCCCCATTCATCATGAGCTGAACTCAAAGACTCTCTCTATGTTTACAAAAGGCCTATTTCTCTCAAATATTGTTCACAAATCTGTCAAAATCTGTGTTAGTGAGCATTTCTCCTTTGCCAAGATAATCCATCCACCTCACAGGTGTGGCATATCAAAATGCTGATTAGACAGCATGGGTATTGCACAGGTGTGCCTTAGGCTGGCCACAATAATAGGCCACTGAAAAATGTTCTATCACACAGCACAATGCCACAGATGTCGTAAGTTTTGAGGGAGCGTGCAACTGGCTTGCTGACTGCAGGAATGTCCACCAGAGCTGTTGCCCGTGAACTGAATGTTCATTTCTCAACCATAAGCTGTCTCCAAAGGTGTTTCAGAGAATTTGGCGGTACATCCAACCAGCCTCACAACCGCAGACCATGTGTAACCACACCAGCCCAGGACCTAAACATCCAGCATCTTCACCTCCAAGATCGTCTGAGACCAGCCACCCGGACAGCTGCTGCAACAATCTGTTTGCATAACCAAAGAATTTCTGCAGAAACTGTCAAAAACCGTCTCTGGGAAGCTCATCTGCATGATCGTCGTCCTCATCTGGGTTTCGACCTGACTGCAACTTCACACAGCCACTGAAGAGGAGGGGACCAACATTCCACAGGCCACAATCAACAACCTGATCAACTCTATGCGAACGAGATATGTTGCACTGCGTGAGGCAAATGGTTGTCACACCAGATACTGACTGGTTTCCGGACCCCCCCCCCCCCCCCCCCAATACAGTGAAACGGCACATTTTCGAGGGGCCTTTTATTGTGGCCAGCCTAAGGCACACCTGTGCAATACCCATGCTCTCTGATCAGCATCTTGATATGCCATCATGCTATCTCGTCAAAGGAGAAGTGCTCACTAACACAGATTTTGACAGATTTGTGAACAATATTTGAGAGAAATAGGCCTTTTGTAAACATAGAGAGAGTCTTAGATCTTTGACTTCAGCTCATGATGAATGGGGGCAAAAACAAAAGTGTTGCGTTTATAATTTTGTTCAGTGTAAAAAGGGATGATACTGCTTATCCAATTTCACCCGGTCATCTTAATGTATATTAACTACAGTATTAGTCATCTGTGAAATTATTGATTTAGAAGATGAAGATGTTATACAATCTAGTGATGCTTCATCTTCTGGGAAAACCCCCCACTACATTTGAAAATGTTTTGTACAAAGACATTTTCCCAGTGGTGAATCTTTTGAGGAAGGAAATTAAATTTGGTGTTTATAACCATGACCAACCCCTGAACTTTTTGATTGTAACAAAGGTCACACCTGCCTAAATCTGTGACTAAAACCTTATTTGCCCAAACTTCCATCCATCCATCCATCCATCCATCGTCAACCGCTTATCCTGCGTACAGGGTTGCAAAAAAAGTATAGCTTAGTTTTGTACGTATGTAGGTTTTGACCTAATGATGACGCTACGTGGAAAGTGGCAAAGTTAGTACATTTCATATTGTGGGTGACATGAATGTCTATTTATAACTCTTCTGAGAAAACTTCAAACCTTATTACAAAAACTGTCCAAAGACAAAAGGCCCATACAAGCTAAAATATAGGGACCATTTATAGCATTTAGTGCTAGGTTTAGGTTATTTCATAGCAGAGATATCGCCAAAATCAAAGTTACAACTCACCTGTGTTTTTCACAACTAATTCTAGAGCTATGAAGCAGTGATTGCAGGTCAAGTCACATTATACTGACTTCAAAAGAGACCGAAATTCACAGTTATTTTGCATTTCCCTTCAGTCTAATTTCCCATGACTCTCACTTTTACAACTGTCAGAGGAAAACTCCCTGGAGAACGTGTGAATCCGCTGTTTTGCTTTGAGGCTTAAAGTGTGTGGAACAAAGTCAATAATATTTTTCTATTACTACAATAAACCAATGATGGCAAATCATTAAGATTCAGTTTTAACCATACACGTTTCAAAATACCGCCTGCAGTAGTTGTTTGCACATTATTTTCAAGTCAGACATTCAGAGACATCTAACAGCTGCTGAGCGCGGATTCATTTCCAATTTTATCTCATTTTGGAGGTTGATCTAAATCTAAAATTTAATACTAGATTATGTGTCAGTGAACTTTCATATTGAGGCCATAAATTCTGATTAAAACAAGTAATGCTTGAAGCTTTTTATATACAGTCTATGGGCATGAAGGCACCAGGCTATGGCCAACACACATCCAAGAAGTGCCTCACCTTCCCCCCTGATAGCACGCTGTACTTAACCACAATCCAACCCTTCTTCAGTTTCACTCCTGCTCCCTCACTGATCATGTGACTGTTTTAAACAAGGCTAACAACAATTTTTTTGTTGTTTTTGTAATTAGTCGCTTAAAAGTTTTGCTTACAAAAATTCAGACCGCAAGGTGACATCTTTAAAGGGTTTGTTTTGTCTGACCAACAGTCCAAAACCCCAAATATATTTAATTTACAATAATATAAAACAGAGAAATGCAGCAGATTCCCCCCCCACACACACCAGGGCAAGTGTGGCATTTCTGCTTGATAAAAGACTTAAATACCTACATCCAAATATTATTGGTTAAATTTCTGAAGATAAATTAATCAACTAATCAATTGAGCACTGCTGTGAACTATCGTCACTAAGACAGCTTGAGCATATAAGCATCTTGCTCTTTGATTAGATAATCACCACTGCTTCAAAGGCTAGATGCCAGTCGCCTGTGTTTACATGTATCCATTTAAAGACAGCAAAGTCTTTCACTACTTTGATGGCTCAGGATCTGTCAGGTCCAGGCGATGAAACATTCATGAATTCCCTGAGATACTGTGGCTGTGCCACTCCAAAGACTTCTAAGGCAAGAACTTGGGAAAATATTCTGCTGTCTATACAGATTCTGTCCCGAATTTTCATGCAGCACTACCTCAATAACTCTGTTACCGTGAAACCGCCCTGGAGGCTTAGTTGGCTAAAATGCATATAATACCACTGCAATGAGTCTGTTGCATATCATCACCTTTCCTGTCGCTCCTCTACAGCGTTCTTTAAAAAAAGGACGAAACACAAAAAATTAGCGTTCAAAAATATCTCAAAAAGGTCCTTTTACACCAGCAACTTCTCAATGTGCCTTTTATCACAAAGAACACAGAGGTTCAATGTTGATGTGAACTTTTCATACAACCATGTAATTCATTAGGGAAGAGAATAAATGTATGCTTATATCTAAATTAGAGACACTATGTGCAGTAATTACCCTATGAAAACCACCCTCAATAGAGGACCCAATCAGTCCAAATGTGACCCCCAACTTGTCCTCAGAGTTTTATCTCACCTGTTACGTCCAGTGGCAGGAAGTGACCTGGTATGCGTCTCCCGAGGTGCCAGCGTGGTTTCTCCGCGACAGGTGGGCCGATGGTAGCAGAAGTGGCAGTGCTGCTGCTGCTATTGTTACTACTCCAACCCAGCGGGGGTCGATCTGAGCCGCAGGTCGACGGGGACGGCGAGGGAGACGGGTCGGTCACGGACCTCAGTCCAAACACCGAGGAGGTGGTTTCATCCTCGTAGAGCTGTTTGGACGCCGGCTAGAGGAAGAAGAAAGGCAGCGTTAAGACGTGGAGAGCAGTCAGATCCGGTTGCTTCAGAGAGACTAAAATGCGTGTGTATCTGTCCTGATGTTTCCTTTAGCAAGACAAGTTCAAGCTGTAAATCCAGATGTAGCAATAAATACAAACCAGCCTTTTTTTAAAGCAGCCTTATACGTACCTACATTAATTGATTCATTTTTGCCTCTTGGGAACAGTGAAACAAGCTGTAAACACAATACTAACATAATCACATTATAAACAGGATATAGTGAAGCAAACAGTCTGTTTACACATCCAGCACATAGAGAGAAACATAAGCATCAATATGGAAATGTGCTTCCACAATATTCACTCTCCTTTTTATTTCTGTTATGCATAAATGCTCCAATATGTTCACCAGCAAGTTGCTAACTTTGTCTGTTTGCTACTTGCCGCTGAGCAGGTTGAAACGAGGTTGATGAGCCTGATAGGTTTTCAGGCCTGCAACCTTGGTGAAAACAATGAGCTGAAAGAGGCTAAAACACTCTGTGGAGCTGGGTGGGTTTGTCACTACAAGCAACCCCTTTCACATTACATGTAGTACATTATAGAATATTATATAGTGCAGCTTAAAAAAAAAGACCTTTAATATGTGAGTTAGTGTTAGCTTTACTGATTTCCAATGCAGAAAAACACACTGTTCCTCTATGTAGGCTATTCACACACTGACAGTTGAATTAGATGAATGAGATTAAGTGTTATCTCTGGTCATGGCTTTGGGAAGAAAGAAATTCTTTGTGAATGGTTTCTTAAATTTAGTTTTAAATCCTTTAAGAAACACAAATTCACAATTCTTTCTGGTCAGTTTTCTTGCTCTTAAACTGTATTGTACAACTGTTTTTTCTTGTAGTGACAACCACCTTTCTTCTCATAAATTTCAGCCATCTCAATGCAGCATGTCCCCCTCCCGTCAGTAATATATGGGCTCAGATTCTATTATCTCTGCTTTTGTTCCATCTTGTACCATACTTTCAAGTTCTTTGAGAGTTCTTGTTTCCGTTTCGAAAATTGGGTTTTCTTTTTTTAAATTGCTGTTATTGGCTCAAGCACACACAAAACTCTAAATTCAATTACAGCAAAAATCAATACAACGGAAAACTTGGAGAAGGCAAGACTGGCATCTACTTTCCCCCGAAATAAATTGTTTTGTCCTCTTTAAGCTGCTTCAATGCCAGTGAGAGGAAAGAATGGTGAAGTAGATAAGAAGTGAGAAGTGGAAGAAACAGAGACTATGAGAGTAAGTGTTGTAAAAACACACTTTTCAATTTTCCACCTGTCTCATAGTTAGAAGAGAGAATTATAGTAAAAGACAGAGAACAGGAAAGAGAAATGTGAGTTACAATACTCGAAGGTGATGGTTTACATTTGTATAGGAAAGCAGAAAACATAGCAAAGAAGCAGAAGAAGTGGATAAAAAAGGCAGAAATATGGGAAATTTCTTTTTAGATCGTATTAGCCAGGAGGGACAAAGGCTGACAACTAGCAGATACATTTCTGGTTGAATCCCTTGTGCCAACGGGAAGATATAATCCCAGCTGGGAGGCAACTGGCATCTGTCAGCTGCCTGGTCTTAAAACCCTCGCTGCTCAAAGAGCCCTTGAGCAAGTCACTGAAACCCAAACTGACTCAGGGGCTGCTGCAATGCAGGAAACACTCCTGTTTATCCTCTCTGATGATGAAATACATGTGTATGTGAGAAACACGTGTATGTTGCTGTAGAAATTCAAATTCAAGTTGTCTCATGGGAATCTACCAAATTCCAATTGAAATTAGCCCAAACAGAGAGAAAGGCGTTAACTTAACAGAGCTGTATAACAGCTTGCTGAAGGAACGGTGCGTCGATATGCAGCGGATGTGCAGCCATCATGCAGTAAAAGTCACAGTAGGAGTCCATCGGGCTGCCATAACGACACAGTTCTGGGAAATAGCCTGAGAACGATTAGCAGCAAAGGCAGAGAAGGAAATAGTGAAAACAGAGAGGAAATAGCTGCAGAAAGTCTCCTTTAGGTTGATTCTTAGTAGATACCTTATAACAACAACAAAACAATTAAAGCCCTAAAAACTTTTTTTTTACCACCTGTATTAGATTCCATAATCAGTCAGTAACCACTCCACTGTGCTTCAATGAGGATGAGCTGACTGCAAACAGCACTGATGTCACATGCTATTTTAATTTCTGATCAAGTATTAGTGATATTGCCATCTGGAAGACACTAAATGATTTGGCATTTGTTTATGGAACCCTGTCGAGAGTGTGAAAAGGATGATGACTAACTCTGACAAATCTAAAAGAGCGGGTGGCATACATTGTACAATAGTTTTTGGATACATCAGCTTTAGCCTTTTATATAAAAAGGCATGATGACAAAAGCAATGAGGCATTTTGTCACAACACACATTTTAGCTGAAACAGTGTTAGTGACAATGAAATAGTAATTTGTTGGCTGCTGGGAGAAGAACAATGTAACTGATTAAATACTGAAACTACAGTACTCTCTCAATAAAGGAGACGCTGGAATCAAACATGACAGACAGATTTTACATGTATTGAAACTTGGGGCAGCACATGTGACAGAAGCCAGCGAGGCTGTGCAGTGAGTAAACCTATCTCCCCGACACCTTAAGAGGCCAACCCTAGTGCCCATGGGTTTTAGCCTCCTCATCAGCGTGTCCGCCTCTCGTACCCGAGGTCGACTTGGGGCTGTGCAGTAAGTTCTCGGGAGCAACCGGTTCCACATACCTACACACTTTCAATAGCTACTTTGTTTGCAAAAACTTGTTTACAGTGCAGCCAAACAATGTCAACAGATGGTGGTAGAAGTATTTAGATCCTTTACTTAGATAAAAATGCTAATACCACACTATGAAAATACTCCACTAGTAAGTAAAAATCCTGGTTTTAAAGTGGTATTATCAGCAGAATTTACTCAAGTATCAAAAGTACTTGTTCTGCAGTAAAATGTTCCCAGTCAGTGTTTCTGTGTTAATATTCCTGCTGCATTAATGTGTATGTTGCATTTTACTGCTACAGATGTTTAAGGTTGTGTTAGTTTTATCTACATTATACCCTGTTGGGTAGTTTAATCAACAGCAATGCATCATTTCCTATAAGGTCATCATATGATTGCAGCGTCGCAGTCCTGCAAGAACCACGTATCTCTAAAAAGTCAACTTTTCATGAGCTCAGAGAAACAGACCCATATCCAGCTTTGTGATGATGTATTTTCCTGCTGATGCAAAGAGTGTTTTACAAAAGGTAATTTAGCTTAAGAAGTCAGAGAATTTTCTCTGTCCATAATGAACCCATTCATGTTCTGGACAGGAAAAAAATGAAAGATTGCAATCTGAAAAGTAACCAGTAAGTACAGCTGTCAGACCAATGTAGTGGAGTAAAGAAGTTCAATATTTGCCTCTGAGATGTCGTGGAGTTGAAGCATAAAGTTGTATAAAATGGAAATACTCATACTTGACTTTGTACTTCAGTACAGCACTTGAGTAAATGTACTTTTTGTTAGATTCCGGTGTCTTCTGCATTACATGACATCTCCACCTTTATCCTCCGCATGGCGTACAAGTATGCGTACGTTTCCTGTGAATCCATTGTGTGTCGGTACATAACTTGAATCGTGCACAGGAAAGGAGGACTCCAGCAGTAACAATGCAAATTTCCACTGTACATAGAAAAGTATTTACTGATTGCAAAAAACATTAAATGGCAATTGAGTAAAATTGTAGCCATAAATATTGAAATTAAATACAACTTGCACTCACAAGGTTACTAGTGTGAAGGAATTTAGGGGACGTTTGACACAGGTATCCCCAGGTTATGTTAGCGTCACTTGCAGAGCTAAAGTAAGCCAAAGGTGACAGCCAGGGACTCTCCAAACAGTAGAACAGACTCTGGCTGTTGTCGAAACTGGTAAAAGTGCTGTTTCAGATGGTGTCTAACAGAGCAGCGAGTCATCGAGTGATGGCAGACAAACAAGCCGAAATTCATCTACAAATAAATGTTGTAAAAAGTTTTTAGTGGTTTTTATCGCTTCGATTTTTGAAAAGTTAGCAAGAACTAAACACTGAACTATGATATTAGCCTGTGACTGTTTAGTATAATTTTTGAGGCTTCTGCTATCAATTTGCCTTTTCAATAGCTAGCTAACTGACGCTAGGGCTAGTGACTGACAGCCAGAAGAGACGCAGGACGGGGTGCTGATGTCACACGTTGATGTAAATGCTGCCCTAAAAGGCTGATTGAAATTGTCTGAAAATGTTCATAGAGATGCCTTCACTCGAAAGTAATGCCTTCTGAGGCACCTGCAGCAAGGCAGTGAGGCCCCAGACAGGAAGTATTCTTCAGATTTGGTGTTGATATTGCACGTGTTCACACGTACGCTGGAACTATATCTCCTCAGCTGAGTCTCAATAAACAAATTCACCAGAGATTTACCAAATTAAATGGAGAAATACAGCATAAATGAAGAGAAGGAGACACATTCATACTCGCTACAACAATGCCGCTGTGAAAGACTAAAATACTTCAGGGGTGTGCAGCGAGTTGGGTAACATACAGTAAATGTCTGATGTTGGGTTCACGAAGCTAAGAAGAAAAAGAAAGTTTAGAAAGAAACTGTAGTGCAGAAATACAGAGTGGAGGAGAGAGAAAATAAGGGCAGAAAGAGTGGGACGAAGTGAGTTAGCGTGAGTTTAGTGGGAATTTGAAGGCTGCTTTCTTGCTGTTCAGGGAGAAAAGCGAAAAAGATAAGTGAGGTGGACAGGATTTGGTTTGTGTGTGTGTGTGTATGTGTGTGTAAAAAGGTAGCTGTGATGGTTTCAACACAACAGGAGGCAGACAAGTGTGTGTTTTTGACTGTGGAGAAGGTCATACCAGATAAAATAAAAAAGGTGGAAATTATTTTGTGGGTGTGCTTACTTATAAAAGACGTGTGGCTTCAAAATAAGCGTAAATGAAACTTGAAGTGTGTTCGCAGACAGATGATATTTGGTGTGAGTGAGCCTGTGTGTGTGTGTGTGTGTGTGTGTGTGTTTACCAGGAAGATGAAGTCAGGTCTCTTGTTGTTGAGGGAGATGGGCGATCGGCTAAACGAGGTGGACGTGTCGTCAGAGCTCTGCGAGGATGGATGCCGGAAAGTCTGACCGGTCAGCTTGGTGTCATACAGCTGCTCCTCAAAGTCTGCACACATACAGACACACACACACACACAAAACATCCAACAACACAAGCATACAAACCGACTAGTTAGCGTCAACTTTCTGCAGCACACAAATGCACACAAGAATAAAAGTGCACTGACACACGCACAGAAACTCACAACCCAAACTCACACACCAGATATCCTATTTGCATGGCCGAGAGCAGAGATCTAGTACGACTGCCGCCTTGCATCACCCTGCAGTTTCCCTACTGTGTCTCCAAGTGCAGCAACTTCTGCAGAGGAACCTTAAAGGACTCCCTAAGTTTTTTAATCCTCTCATGAGTAGCAGGGCTTTCTCTCCTTTCGTTCATTCCTTCTCTTCGACTCTCTCTCTATTTTTCTTTCTTTCACGTCCTTCTTTCTCTCCTCATCTTGGACTTTTTCTCTAATGCTTCTTCTCGATATCTGACTGTTTCTCCTTCTCTGGCAGCTTAGACGACTCTGCCTCAGGCCATTGTAAACAGATTCCTAACCCCCACCCCGCCTCCTTTTTTCTCCCGCTACAGCACACACACTCCCCCACACAAAACCTCAGCCAATCCTTTACCCCAAAACACACTCCCCACTCATCCCTAAAGCCCTCTATCACACACACACACACACACACACACTCCCAGCTCCATCCCGCTGACAGCTTTAGTAGAGGAGCAGCGTCAGTGAGGTAAAGAGTTTTAGGTTGAACTTGCTTCCCAGGACAATATGGATTCCTTCCATGTGGAGTATGGTTGCTTAGTGACACCAAGGGTTAGTGTCAAATTGCTTTATGGCACAAAACAAGAGAAAGGTGCTGTAAAAGACAGAATGTGTGGTCTTTTGCCACAAAAAGTGAAGACTTCTGTTGTGACGGAAAAGTGACAATTTAATTTTAATAATCTAAGGGAATTGATTAACTAATGGGAGGAGTTTACTACTTGTAGGAAACAGTTAATTCATTCAAAGGAGCTTTTTCCACTTCAACATACCAAGTAGATCTGAAATTAGGGGTTGCCTTAACGGAATTATTTTGATAATTGTTATTGCCGCAGTCTGCAGTTGAACATACAGTGCAGAACCCTTCCCAGTCTCTCTCTGCAGCTCGTATCACTCCGGTTCGCCACACCCACCAAACCCACAAGAAGGAGCCTGTGAACCCGCAAAGGGCTCGCTCTCCGTGGGCAGAGTGTCACCAGGACCCTCTCGCTGCGACGCTTCAGAGGCAGCGCCGAAAACATCTAACAGAGGAGCAAGTACACCACTGTCCACAAGTTATTTCCCACTGTTTGTCATCATACCTTTTTTCCACTTGTAGTTACGAGCACCATGGCATTTACCATACTGACCCGAAGCTCCGTGTAGAGCCGGGATGTGTTCTGTTCACCCAATACGCTGTTGTTGGCAAAGGAGGGATGGGCAGTTCTTTCATTAGTGGTGGTTGTTTCTCAGCCACTGTGTTTGCAAAACTGAAGATATTGAGCTTGACTGAGTTTTTTTTCACATCCACAAGGTCATGTTTGAACAGAAATAACAAGTAAATTTGTTAGGAGTCTGGTTTTTTGTTCATGTCTTTCCTGTTTTAGTCTGTTTTTGGTTCTGTGTTTCTCTGTGTAGCCTTTTTTATTATTTTATTCATTCACATGTCCTAGTTTACTTGGTATCTGTTTTCATGGGTTTGGTTTTGTATTCTGTGTTTCTATAGCTTTATTTGATCTTGTCATGTTGAGGGTTGTAGCTAAGTTTAGTCCTTTGTTCATTCGCATGTTTAATTTTTCTTAGTATCTGTCTTGTCTCGTATTCTAGTTATGTCCTGCATTCTTATCCATGTCTGAGTGTCTACTCCTGGTCTGTGTACTTCTGTATTATTTTGTACTTCTGTATTATTTTGTCCATGTTTGCTCTGTGTTCTGTTTAATCTTAGTTCAGTCTGTTTTCCCTGTTAGTTGTAGTTTTTTGGTATATTAGTGATCTGAGCTTATGTTCTGGTTCAGTTATTTATATTCTATTTCTTCCTGGTTATTAGTTTCCCTATGGCCTTATTGGTGTCTGTCTGTTTCCCCTGCCGTCTCTCTGCCTGCCTGTGTCTCATTAGTCCTGATCTCCCTCACCTGTGTTGCTCCCGCCCCGCTTGTTAGTCCCTGTGTATATATATGCCTGCTTGTGTCGTCAGTCTTTGTCATGTCCTTGCGTCAAATGTTGAGTGTTCTGCCTTTTGCTCTGTTTTCCCTGTTCTAGATTATTCTCTATGTTTTTGGATTGCCTTTCCCCTTTTTGGATTTAACCAGTGTTTGGACTTTTTGCCTGTTGTGCTCCTGAGTAAGCCTGTTTAAGTTGCTCAATAAGTCCTTTGTTTGAACTGCATCCTCCTCATGTGGTCTGCGTTTGGGTCCTCACCTCAGTCTTCACTCAGCCTAACACATGACAAAATTAGTAAAAAAGTAAAATGTTTTTGAATGAATTGATATTTATATTTAAATAATTAATAGTGATGAACCAATATATTATCACCCAACCCCGCAGTTCCCCGTTTAAAGCGTCTCCCAGCTCATTGTTTATGGTTTATGGCCATAGCTTCACTGTTGTGGCTCACTCTCATCAGCGTTTCCGTGATTAGACCCCACTGTACACTGCCTGCTCAGCGCCAAACAGCAGCCAAAGTTAGCAGCTAGCTACTGAACATAGTGAAACATTTATCAGCTAAATGGGCAACATTTTTTCCATAAAGTTGCTACATTGACAATCACAAAATGGAAGATTAAGTGACATAGTAATTTTGGGGTGGAATATCTTTTCAGTCTTGTTGGTCATCATGTAGTTAAACGAGACCTGCTGAATTATCTTAACTTCATCTTAGTGGCTACTGGACTTCCTGCAGTATCCATATGGAACAGTAACAAAATTCACAGGGGGGATTGCATCTGCCTTTAACCTCTCTGAAAGCTGTGGTGTCTGCTGCACAGCCTTCCCGGCTGGTAAACACATTCAGAAATGAAAGGAGTTTCCAGAAAGTTTGTCAGGTGTCAGATTTAAGCGAGTGCAACGTGGGAGTAGTTTGGAGTCATGAATAGAAATTAATATACAGCAGCATCACCACAAAATACAAAAAGATAATGATGTGTTTTATGTGAGGGCATGCAGTCCACCCACCCACAGATTTCATGCACTTTTTTTAATGGCATTTTGGATCATTGCTGTTGACGTCTTCCCTCTGCTAAACTAAAAAATGTGCCAGCAGCAGGAAAACGTCTATAAGAACTCGTCTGCTCTAAGCAAATTTATGCCTCCAAACTTCAGAGGAAAAAGAGGACAGCCTTTGCACACACCAAAAACTTTCACAACCTTCAACATGGATTAAGATGAGGTACAAATATGTTATTTGTTGTTATCAGCGCAACCTTTGTGCATTTTGGAGGTAAGTCTGAAATAGTTTTATAAACTCAAGGTTGGCAGACGTCATTTCACAGAGGGATGTAAACCATGACAATGAAAAAGTGGAGTTTTCACAAGATGAGGATAACACGTTGTGGGCTGCTCCTTGTTTTGCATCCCTGAGGTGACACTGAAAACAATTTTTCCACCGCATGTTAAATTTTAGTCTGTTCTACATTGTGTGGGAAATGCAAACAGGAAGTAAGAGGAAATGAGGGACCGGAGGACAGAAAAAGAAAGGAAAGCGAAGGATAAGACATGATTCGGACATGGCACGAGCTGCTTGGGAGGTCAAGATACTGCAGAAGAAGAAAGTTGGGAATGTTTTTTTTTCAGGGACATGCATGCCAAGAAGGCCCAGGTTCTGACTAAGCAACCTGTCTCCTCCCACATGAAAACTTTCTCAATCATCCCAATGAACATTGAGCAAGCTCCTGCGAACTCACAGTTATGAATCTTATTAGCTGTGCTGCTGCCGCAGTGGAGATACGTGCATTTACTGTATTTTTACAGTATAAGCTCTACCACTTGTTTGTAAGTTACAACTACTGAAACTGTAGTATTAAAAAGGATGTTATTAATGGTTATTATATTGTTTACTAATGCTTTATAGGCAGTTATAACCCATGAGAACAACTTTTGGTTTGTGACAGGGTGTTTATCCTCTTCCAGCAGGACTTTTTAGCTCTTTAGTTTAACACGTATCTCCAATGGACCATTTGATAACTGACCTCAAAACAGTTCTGGATTCAAATTCATTCATCACGTATATATTAAAATGTACAACTGCAGTACAGATGACTTAATGCTTGCTGCTTTATTGAGCAGTGTAAAACGTATAATCTCTCATCGATCAACCTTTTATCTGCCACATTAAAAAAATCCCTGCTATTATTACACTTGAGTTTTTGTATAGATTAAACAAATGAGATGGACTGGTTTTATTAAATTTGTTTTGGTGAGCTTTAGAGGTGCTGGTAGGTGAAGTTTGCTTCAACAAAGCTAGATTAGCTTTGTTGAAGCAAAAAGCTCAGATATCAGGCTGCTGGGAGTAGCCTTATATTAAATGCACAGCTATGAGAGTGGTATCAATCCTTACCTGTAAACTCTCAGCAAGTAAGCGATATTTAAGATGTGGAACTATTCCTTCAATGACTAATAGTGACTTGCCAACTAGAGAAGTGCCTAACAACCTGGCAAACCACAATTTGTTCTTTTTAATGGCTTGTAAGTGATCTTTAAGTTTTGTTAAATGATTATTAACCATTATTAAAGCCATTAGTTACAAGTTATAACCCTTTAAAGTGGTACCTAAAGGCTATACATCATAGTCTAGCCTAAAGTAATGTTTAGTTACATAATAGCTGTAAAACATAACTGAAAATTTGAAGGGCAGGCACATTTTCAATCAAATTTCTCTATTTGAAACCAAAATCTTTTGTTTGCAATTAGAGTTTGGAGTTAAATATTAATGATGACATGATAAACTGAGAACTTGTTTGTTCACTGCATTTCCCAATTCCTCAGGAAGCCATTAGACGTTTCACTTTGTAAGCGCTTGCTTTAAGAAAACACG